CGTCAAATCATGCTTTCTCACAAGAAAAAAATATATACAAGATGGCAAGGGATCTATAGTTATAACTAAGGCCACGTTTAGTTCGCGAAAAATATTTAAAGGGAAATGAAATTGAAATTCCATGGAAAAGAAATTACGGGAAAGATTAATTACATTGTTTGGTTGGTGAAAAATAAATTACTGGGAATATCGATTCCATTGTTTGATTAAGTTTAGAATTGTAAGTAATAATGAGTATAAATACAATTATACTCCTACATAATAATAACAACAACAATAATAATGATAATTAAAAAAAGTTGGTGAAGATATAATTGTCCTACTTGTTTTTCATGGAAAACAAAATATCAAAGGGATCATGAAAAATATTTTCCTCATTTTTGAGGAAAATGTTTTCCATGAACCAAACAAAGGAAAATCTAATTTTCCTCAAATTCAAGAAAAACATTTTTCTTTGAAAAACATTTTTCATGAACCAAATATGCCCTTTGAGTGTCAATACAGGCCCGCCCACCCTATCGCGGGTTTTTTTCACTTGTCTTTATGGGCCGGCCTGCAAAGTCTGCGGACTAGAATTATGCAACCCTAACTTGCCTCATGCGGGCTCGTAGGCCTAACTTAATAAATAAAAAATATTATTTTATTATTTAATATTCAAATAATTTAATCTAAATAATATTAAATTATTGTGTTTAAAAATTAAAAAAATTATATATTTTTTTTAAAGTTTAATGTGTTATATATATATATATATATATATATATATATATATATATATATATATATATATATATATATATATAAAAGCCCGTGAGGTCCACATTTTCGCTGGTAAAAGATTATAGGTCCTAACCCGTCTTATTGCGGAGCAGTTTAGGATTGGCCCGCGGGCTTCAGCCCACCTTGACACCCCTACTTGTAACTACAAAATCATGCTTTTCAAACTCTTTGGTAACACTTAACTTATTCTAATGTTTGTCATCCTCCCACATGCTCTATCGGGTCGGAGTATGGAGGACCCTTAGGATTGGGGATTCAACCTTTGGGATAAGATCATCCGTTTCAATTGAGCCGATTAATTATGAATAACCTAAATTAGTGACTAATTTATTCTCTTGTGGTCTTTTGCCAGCTAAGATCTCAAGGCTTGATTTCTCTCGTCATCCTAAAAAGATTAGGTTAGTCCCGTGAAAAGCATTTTCTTTTTTAAAAAATGAAAAAAATTATTAATGGTGAGTGTTATGACACGTCATTTGAAGCGTGATTGACGTTTGGTGATGCGGAGCGCGTAGAATGGAGGACACTACATGACGCCGTAGTAGTGCATATTGTTCATTTGTTCCCTTGCGTATGACCATTTGGATAGAAGAAACCAGCAACCGTCAAGGCCCCGTTTGGTTGGAAGGAAACTCGTACAAAACAACTGTCTCCAATGTGCAACTATGAACTGCCACTGCCTGCCTGCCATTTTAAGTTTGAACGTCTAACGCTCTTATCCTTTGTTTTTTGTTTTTCTATCCTAAATTGTACTCCGTAATACACTAAAACACATCCACGTAAATAGATTTTGAAAAGCTTTTTGCCAAAAATAAAAAAATTAGGTGTAGATTTTTAAACTAATAAGGGTAGAGTAGTTTTTTGCTAGTTTTTTTTTTTTTTTTTTTTTTTTTTCCTTGCAAATAACAATTTTTTGTGGGCTTCATTGAGTAGGGAAAAGGGAAACAACTATCGCGCAACTTGTGTGTGGGATGCATTGTCGCGCCCAATTGATGCGTGCACAACTGGGCGCATAAATATACTCTTTTTTTTTTCTTTTTTTTTTTTTTTTCCCTCGGATTTTCTTTTCCCTTTTTTCTCTCTTTTTTCTTCTTCTTTCTCCCCTCTCTTTTTTACATGGCCTTGCAAAAATTAAGTCATTGAAGTTGCTCTAATATCTTCATTTTGTAAGATGAAACTAATTCAATATCTCAACAAGTTTCATTCAAGATATAGATCTTTTAAGACTTTTACCTTTTAGATTATAAAAATAAAAGATTTTTATAATGAGTGATTATATATATATATATATATATATATATATATATATATATATATATATATATATATATATATATATTTGAATATATAGTGATTGTATATATTTCATTATGTGAAAACTTTAATATTACGGAGGTGCTTTGTTCAAGGTGTAAAAGATACTATGTATTGTAGATTTTGTGTTTATAAAATTGAACTTATCATCTATCATTTCTATGTTTATACTCTGTGGTGTTTGGTTTGCGAAGTATTGTATTACCTAAAAAATATTAATATTGCAATGTTATATGGAATTATTTGGTTTAAGAGAATATGAGGTTATTTTAGGGGATTTAAACTTCTTAAACTTCATTTTTTATGACATTCATGAAAATTACATTTCTCCAAATGTTTTAAGTTAGTTGTCTGAAATTTTCGAGAACATTATAATATTCTAAAATATTCGTCAAAGCAAACACTATTTATATTGCTAAAAGCGTTATTTGTTGAAATTGTGGTAACTTAAAGATAAAAGAGAATCAGATTGGCTAATCAGCTACTTGCCTTTTAGTCATTTACTTTGGCAAAATGATTAGTGGAACTATTATTATGGATTAAATGACAAAAAGAAGAATTGACATTGACTACAATAGTTGTTAATTGTTTTTAAATTGAGTGTTTGTATCAATTAGCAAGAATTCTTATGGCATAACGTTTACTTAACAAAAGCATTAAGTAAACATTATTTTGCATTTGAGATGTATATATTCCCATTAATTTTTCACTTTGAATTGTTTTAGAGAGTTGATGGGTTATACATCAGTTTAACTAACTCAATAATTCAAATGATAAGTTCAATAATAAAATAGAGATAAAAGTTAGTTTAATCTGGCAAACATTTCAAGTAAATGATTGGTGAAGACTAACTGGATTGGTATAACTTGGGATGACAACATGAGGGGGGGGGGGGGGGGGGGGGGGAGGGAGTATACTTGTCTCATTCCGGTCGTTGTGGAAAATTTTTGAGGATGAGGAATCTCCTTTCCCATTAACATTTAATCAAACTAGTATAATTCTTAAATTTTAAATAAACAAATTAATAATATTAAATTTCTAATCTTAAAATACTTAAATCTTCATGGAATTCTCATGACAACTGAACTATCAAATATAATATTCAAATAATTTTCATGCAAATAAGAATATAAATACACAATTACAAAATGTCAATACAAACCATCTGCAACCTTAATAATAATAATAATAATAATAATAATAATAATAATAATAATAATATTATTATTATTATTATTATTATTATTATTATTAAAAATATGATTGGTGGATGGAACAAGGCAAGGATGGGTATCCTTATCCTCGATGAAAAATTGTAAATATTTCTCATCCCCAATTCCGTTCTCTAATTTTTTTTTTCCCATCTGAACAAGGATTGGGGATTCCCATCAAAGACGAGAGAAATTGTCATCCTTAAATATGACTAAAATATGTTTAATTAACTCAGATATTACTTTGTAAAAAATCAAAAGAGCATCCTCAATAGTGAGGTTTTTGGGATGGTTTTTGAGGTTCCAACTAGGAGAGAGAAGAGGGAGAGAGAAGAAGGAAAAAGATAAAACAAAAGGAGGAAAAAGACAGATCTAATACCAAAAAAAAAAAAAAAAAAAACCAAAGGGCTTGACGCGCCAGCGAGTGCGTGCAATACACACACCTGGTTGGGTGCGATCTGTGCGGCCCACGCATGTCACCGCGCCTTTTCCTTTCCCTTTCTCTCTCTTACGGGTTCCACAAAAAACCACCATTCGCAAGAGGAGCTCAAAAATTCTCTATCATCCTTCTCTCTCATCCACATCACTCACATTTCTTCAAAAACTGGTCCAAAACGGCATAACTGTTTAAAAAAAAGTATGTCTAATTAGCTAAGGGTTAGCCTAACTTTAGGACTGGCAAGCCTAACATTAGGATTGGCACACCGGCCGCTTGATGGGATGAGCCTTGCAGATTGACCAACCCGTGCCTATTCAATGCTATCTATCATCTCCAATGTAGGTGAATTTACATCATCAAGACCCATTCATTGCTCCCATCGCTCTTTAAAACGATGCTTTGAACCTTTTGGTGAATTTTGGTTAAAAGGATGCTTTGGACCTTTGGTGAATTGTGGTTGAAAAGATTGGTGTGGTCCACTACACTACTTGAGAACTTTCAATTAAAGGGATAATGACACAATTAATTGAAGACTTGAAGTAGTTGTGCAATAAGAATAGTCTAACCTCTTTTATTTTACCATTGCCATTCTATTTGGCATTTGCTCTTCACAAAGTTTTTCTTAATGGGCTATGTATCTCTACTTTTTGGATGATGAGAGAAACCACACAACTTTATTAGGTGTAGGTAAATCATGCCTTGTACGTGACCCTAGTCACTAAAAGACCATAAAGAAGTAAACCAACCTAGGTTATCCATAACTAATCGACTCAAACCAAACTAGCAAGAATTTGAACTTGTGACCATGTAATTACAAGCGTGGATCTCTTGTCATCTTTTGGTTGAGGTTACCTACAAAGATAGCCGTCATTTAATAGTAACCACAATCAAGTAGGTCAGAGTGTTGGTTTGGTAATAACAAAGTTTTAAGTTTGATTCTCAGTGAAAACAGTTTATTGACCCTTCTTAGTTTGATGAGATGGTCTGAATAACAGCCTAGACTGATTTACCTCATTGTAATCTTTTGTCAACTAAAGTCACAGAACGAAATTTGTCAATTACCCGACCTTAATTAGTTGATGCACATTTTCTTCGTCACTTAAAAAACATAACCGCCACTTAAAAAAAATATTTCTCAATAATACAAAATTGAGGGAATAAAAAATTTGAATAAAAGTTATTCCTTAATCATTGCTCGAAAACGGAGACATGAGTTTCCTAATATGCATAAAAGTAATAAATGATTAGGAAACTGTAGAGAAAGAAGAAAAACCCCATTGGAATTAAAATTGAAAATCTGCTTCAATTTTTCTGTAGTCTTCTGTACGACTGTACCTGGCAATCTTTCCATCGTGTGTGTTTATGTTGTTGAAAAGTTGACAGTTGAAGCCACCCCTTTTGTGTCAGCATTTCTAGTCTTTTTTTGATTCTTTAAGCCGGACCCAAAGTGCTGAAAATCATCTCACCGGATTTCTAGTTTTCCGGCGACCCACGGCTGAAATTCCCGGCGAATCCAGATGGAGAAAGAGCCTTTCCTCTCCTATTCTGCACCCAGAATACCACAATCTTCACTGCCAGCCCCCATTTCCCTTTGCCCTTTGCCAGAAGACAATGAAATCACAGTCCCACCTATGAGCCCTTTAGAGTTCAAAGACAGGCTCATCTTTGGCTCTCCTTCTCCTTCTTCTACTTCCTCTTCCAAAAACCCTTTTAAAGACCTAAAGTCCAGTCTTGATTCTTTGGATTTCACTTCCCAGACTTTTGCTTCTTCTTCTTCTGTTTGCCCAGACCAAAAATCCAATCTTGATCTGAATTCTTGGGTGTTGGACCCAAATCATCAATCACAAATCTCTTGCTCACCTTCAGACCCCAAATCCAATATTGACCAGAGTTCTTGGTTTTTGGACTCAAATTACCCAACATGGAGCAAGAGCAATCTTCACAGGTCCAGGACTGCCCCTGCCATGGCCACAATCAATGATATTGAGAACCAATCTTCAACTTCCAAGCCCCCTAGGGCACTGTCAATTGTGAGTCAAGCTGTTGTGCTTTTGGGTCTTTATTTGATTCTTGGTGTGGCTATATATTCATTCTTTAAGGAACACTTTAGGGGCACTGAAACCCACCCTGTGGTTGATGCTTTATACTTCTGTATTGTCACAATGTGTACTATTGGTTATGGGGATATAACCCCTGCTAGTCCTGCTACAAAATTGTTCTCCATCATGTTTGTGCTTGTGGGTTTTGGGTTCATTGACATTTTGTTAAGTGGGATGGTTAGTTATGTGCTCGATTTGCAAGAGAGTTATCTGTTGAAGACTATTAAGAGTCGGGGTGCACATGATCCCGGTTCATATATAATCGATGTGAAGAAAGGGAGGATGAGGATTCGGATGAAGGTGACACTGGCATTGGGTGTTGTGGTTCTGTGTATTGGGGTAGGGGTTCTGTTTATGCATTATGTCGAGAGGCTTGGGTGGTTGGATTCGTTGTACTTGTCGGTTATGTCTGTTACTACTGTTGGGTATGGAGACAGGGCGTTCGAATCTTTGTCTGGTCGGGTTTTCGCTTCGTTTTGGTTGCTCGTGTCCACACTCGCGGTTGCACGGGCTTTTCTTTACTTGGCCGAGGCAAGAGTGGATAAAAGGCATAGGATGATGGCTAAATGGGTGCTCGATCAGGATATGACCGTTTCGCAGTTTCTTGCTGCCGACATTGATAACAATGGTTTCGTGACGTAAGTCTTTTGCTTTTCCCGAATCTTATACATTATTGCTCTTAAGAGCTCTTATTCAATGGTTATTCTATAATATTAGTTCACAGAATGTGTCATCTTTTATTACATTGGTTAGATGAAACGTGAGTTGTGGTTTAGTTGTAACATATCTAGGAAAGTTTCGTGTCTTTTTGCTGGATGTTCTTGGCAAAAAATGAACTGAAAACAGCACTTTTGTTAGCAGACCACGAGGTGTTCTGAGTAGGTCCTAACTATAGGAGACACCTTTAACTCTTAAGCCCGTACCATACTCAGACTAATCCCTGTTTGTATTAGGCCGGTCCAATTAAGGGGCAGAGTGCTGGTCATATTGGTTTTTCTATACTAGGGGGGGGGGGGGGGGGGTTTGAACTCCCGACCTCTCTTAAGGGATGAGACTGCACGGCCACTCACGCTAACCAAGCTGGTTTGGATGGTTAGGAAAATTATGAAATTTTTGAAATTTAGATTTCACAGGCCTTTTGTGTGGGTTGGATGCCATATATCCCCGTCTGGTGTACCAAAAAACAAGAGTGAAAAACATATTTAATGCACACATACACGAAGAGGAAGGCTATGTAGATTGTGATAGCAATTAGAAGAAGAAATTGGCCAGTTTTGATAAGGTGGATGGTGCTTCTGCATATTGCATAATCTAGAAATATCAGAACTAAACCGTACTGAAAACTAATTTAATGATTTTACGTATACGAGGCAGGAAAATATAGCAGATATAGTTGACAATCAAGATAGTAACTTTGAAGTTGTTGATCTTCTGTTACTAGAAAATAAGAATAGGAATACAATGAAACGGGAATCTTTGGTCGAGTTGTTTATTCAGCATATCCGTGCCTTTATTTATAGTTTAGATTTTATAACGCCATTCATGTTCATAGCTAAAAACAAACTTAGTGTAGCAGATGATTTAGTTCTGTAGGAGCTTTATTTTTCATCTATTGGATAAACACCGTCTTTATCTTGAAGTTTTGAGCTTTTATTTGTCTCTTGGATTAGTATCTTCGGGTTCATACAAATCCTAATTTCTCAGCATTGTTATTATTCTGTCATTTTGGGTTAATGTATTGTGCTTTAGCCTCGTTGTTTGAATTGAAAGACAAGATTCGAGTGTAATTTTCTGCGTTCTTTCTTGATATCTGGCAGTAAATCTGAATACATAATATACAAACTGAAGGAGATGGGGAAGATCTCGGAGAAAGATATACTTTTGATCTGCAAACAATTTCAACGGTTAGACACGGGCAACTGTGGAAGGATCACCCTCGCTGATCTGATGGAAGGCCACCACTGAACCCCATTATTTAGCGGGCAAAAAGTCGGCGAAACTGGCGATGACAGCTCAGAATTTGCAGTGGGGTCCGCTATATTGCGACGTCGAGATATCAGCTGGAGTGTCCAGCTTTGTGGGAGAGGGAAGAGTGGTTGTTTGAGCTGTTGTGGTGGAGGATGATGAAGGTTAAGATGGGAATGAGATATTGGGAGGTTTAGAATCATATGAAATGAAGTATATATATAATTGCATATATAGCAGGTGGATATTTTTGTCTGCCATAAGTTTTGTTCTCAAAATTGTTGTCAGATGAGGGTGTGAATATTAATCCTATGAACAGTTGTATTTTTAGTTGTATGAATTACTGTCTATACAAACAACATTAAACATTATTGTTGAATTTAGACAATGTGTTCTTGATTCATCTGCTTTGATTGAACCAGGAATACGAGTATCAGAGATTTCTCAGAATCAGTCATTTTTAAAAAAAAAATCATTAAGAGGGTATAACGGGAAAAAAACACAAACAAATAATAAAGAGATTGGTCCTCAAGTGTAAAGGCATGCAGAAGGGATCTTGACTACAAGACTCTCCTATCGAGTAAAGATGAAAATTTGATTTGTCTTAATGATCAAATTTTACTTTCGGTTAGATTTTGAAACATGTCACCGTGATGTCTCTGTTTGTTAATCATTTAACAACTAACTTTGACTCGCATTTCAATATATTTGAATTGGTTATATACTAACTATAGAGTATAGGAATGCAAGTTAAAGAGGGAATGTGGTAGCTCAAAAATTGTTGGATTTTGGATAGGTCAAAGTTTGATTGGACTCAATGTTAGGTTGATCAATATTTTAGTACTCTTCCCTTACATCATTTACAAGGACAAATTATACTGTGGACCGCGGTTTATAATGTATTGTGATCTAGGCATCAAATCTGCACGGTAGTTTCATTTCAAGACAACTACAATATCATTTTGATATAATTACAGTTTCACTGAACAATATACACTCAAATATGTGAAATTGTTATTCAGTTTCATCTCAACACAACTACAGTTTCATTTCAATTCAATTGCAGTTTCAAATGATAATATAATAAAAATAATACGTAAAACAGTGTCACTTTAGATACACTATAACGTTTGCCGTTTTGAATTATGGTCCACAAAGCTTTGTGGACCGCGGTCCACAATATAATTGCTGATTTACTAGTGGTTAATGAAGTTTATATAAATATTCTACAAGCAACCCCAATATGACTCAATGGGCTTCCATACTTGGCCCAATTAACTATTTTACCTAACTTAATAATTAAAATAATACAAGATATATGTGTGTGAGAATAAAAATCCGAGCCCAAGTGTGAAACGTTGTAAGAGCATCCATAATAGGGGTGAAATAGGGTTAATGTCAGATTAATTTATTTGGATGGGGTTAATAACAAATGTGGGGTGGGGTTATTTTAGAAAAGAATTGACCTGTAAGGCTGTAAATATCAAAATAATGTCTGAAAAAAAAAAAGAAAAAAAAGCAACACAGACTGTGTGCGTTTGCGCATAGCCAATGGTCACACGGCACGCGCCCGTGTGGCGCGTCAGGCGCGCTGTCAGCGCGCGGATTGCAGTTTCATTTGATAATACAGTGCATATTTGATGCTTGGATCACAATACATTATGATATAACTACAGTTTCACTGGATAATATACACTCAAATATGTGAAATTGTTATTCAGTTTCATTTCAACACAACTACAGTTTCATTTCAATTCAATTGCAGTTTCATTTGATAATATAATAAAAATAATACGTGAAACAGTGTCACTTTAGATACATTATAATATCTGCCGTTTTGAATTATGGTCTACAAAGCTTTGTGGACCACGGTCCACAATATAATTGCTGATTTACAGGTGGCTAATGAAGTTTATATAAATATTCTACAAGCAACCCTAATATGACTCAATGGGCTTCCATACTTGGCCCAATTAACTATTTTACCTAACTTAATAATTACAAGATATATGTGTGTGAATAAAAATCCGAGCCCAAGTGTGAACATGTACTTTTTAAGAGCATCCACAATAGGGGTGAAATAGGATTAGTGTCAGATTAATTCATTTGGGTGGGGTTAATAATAAATGTGGGGTAGAGTTATTTTAGAAAAGAATTGGCCTGCAAATATCAAAATAATGTCAGGAAAAAAAAAAAAAAAGCAACACAGGTTGTGCGCATTTGCGCACAGCCAATGACCACACAGTGCACGCGCCCATGTGGTGCGTCAGGCGCGCTGTCAGCATGCGGACGCTTTAGTTTTTTTTTTTTTTTTTTTTTTTTTTTTTTTTTAATTTTATTTTGGGAAAATGGTCAAATAGGCCCTTGAACTTTAGCTTAAAAGTCAATTAGGCCCCTAAACTTTTTAAAGGTGCAATTACACCCATCAACAATTCATTTAGGTGTAATGAAGCCCAAAATCAGGTTAATGACCTGCTATCACAAGTCATTAGGATTCAGGCCACCTTCTGACATAATTAGAGTTAGCATAATTGTTAAACATATACTACGAATATGTTAAAATGTATTAAAAATAAAATATAAAATTTAACATAAACTTTGGTCAAATAATTAGTCTGACTATATACATAGCATTCAATGATTATAAACCAGGAACTTTGATAATCATTTGATTTTCTTTCATTAAAAAAAAATAATAAATTTAAGTTCAATTTTTTTTCTTCGTTTAATTAATCTTTTTTTGATTATTGAAAACAAAACTTAATATTTCAATTATGCTTTTATCAATGCATGAAAACTTCTAAAGAAATTTGTAAGTTAATTTTTACTATATTATTATAATAATATCTATTTTAACCTTATATTTTGAATTATTTATTATCATCATCTATTGACACCAATTGTCTTTGACAAACTCTTAAAACAATTTGTCTCAACAACGAATGAAAATTTAAAAAAAAATCAATGATTTCATTATTGTGGACGAAAAGTAGATGAGTGAATATTTTACGTAGATTCAAACTCTCACAGTTACACAATGATAAAAGAGATAGAAGCCTATCTAACTAACCCCACATAATAGCTGTGGGTTACAAGACTAAATCAACTCTAACTATAATGTTACATATAATTACACTAATAATGTAACACTACTAACATACCCCCTCAAGCTGAAGGTGGTGGAGACACAACATTGAGCTTGTCCCTTAAAGAGCTGAAACGAGCAGAAGCTAGTGGCTTGGTGAAGATGTCAGCAAGTTGGTCCTTCGTAGAGACAAAATTGACCAAGAACTCCCCTGTAGACACCTTATCGCGGACGAAATGATAGTCAATCTCGACATGCTTAGTCCTGGCGTGGAACACGGGATTGGCACACATGTAAGTTGCCCCAAGGTTGTCGCACCACAACGTGGCGGGATTCCGTGACTGTAGTCCAAGCTCACGAAGCAACGACATAACCCAGGTGACCTCTGCAGCCACATCAGCAAGACCCTTGTACTCTGTCTCAGTAGATGACCTGGCCACGGTCCGCTGCTTGCGAGAAACCCAAGAAACCAGATTAGACCCAAGGAACACAGCATAGCCGCTGGTTGACTTCCTGTCCATCGGACAACCAGCCCAGAGAGTCTGAATATGCATGCACATCAGAGGAAGATGACACAGAAAGCCGTAAGCCATGTGTGATAGTACCCTTCACATAACGAAGAACACGCTTTAGCATGGCCCAATGTTCATCAGTAGGAGTGTGCATGAACTGGCAGAGTCTGTTAACTGCATAAGAGAGATCCGGACGAGTGATAGTGAGATACTGTAGTGCCCCTGCCAACCGACGATATTGAGTCGGGTTCTCGTAGGGATCTGTAGTCGGTGTCGCAGACTTCGTCACTGCTGCTGGTGTGGATAGAGACTTGCAATCCGTCATACCAACACGAGTAAGAATATCATCCATGTAACGGCGTTGAGACAATAATATGCCGCCATCTAGGGGTATAGTCTCAATGCCGAGGAAGAACGTAGGAGCCCCTAAATCCCGAATTTTGAAAGCGGAGGAGAGGCGGCGTAGTAGCTCATCAAGGAGACTCGAGTCGTTACCCATCATGATAATATCGTCGACGTACACAAGCAAATAAATGCGTGAGTCTTTCAATGTGTAATAAAATAAAGACACGTCAGTTTTGGACGCCACAAATCCTAACGTCAGAAGATAGTCGTGAAGCCGATTAAACCAGGCTCGAGGGGCCTGCTTAAGGCCGTATAAAGACCGCTGTAGATGACAAACATAATCAGGATGAACCGGGTCTTCATAACCCGACGGCTGACACATATAGACAGTCTCTGTTAGTCGGCCGTTTAGAAATGCATTATGAACATCAAGCTGGCGTAGCGTCCACCCACGAGATACAGCCATGGCAAGCAAGATACGAACCGTGGTTGGTTTAACAATCGGGCTAAATGTCTCGAAGAAGTCTTCGCCAGCTACTTGATTAAACCCTTTGGCAACCAAGCGGGCCTTATGGCGTTCAATCGTGCCGTCTGTCTTCCGTTTAGTACGGTAGACCCACTTACAACCCACAATATTCATACCGGGTTTGGCCGGAGTGAGACACCAAGTATTATTATGTAAGAGGGCATTGAACTCCTGATCCATGGCATCACGCCATTCTGGATGCCCAACTGCCTGGCTATAACACGTGGGATCTGTGGAGACCGTAAGAGCCTGAAATGGCTCGCCTGTCCCACGGGTTTGATGACGGAGCCGCATAACATGGCCTCGTTCCTGAGGCTGTGCTCGAATTCGTTTCCGAGCCCTTGGTCCGCGACATGGCACCGTAGCAACCCCCGGTTGCTCCTGTATGGCCAAGGGCGGAACACATACGACTAGAGGCGGTTCATCCAAGGGTATTGCAGCTTGCCCAGTGGGTACCAAGGGACTAGATGCCCATGGTGTAGACTCACATGTCCCATGTTGGGTACTCGGGTCCTGTGTACCTGTTGCATAGGGGAAGATACTTTCATCAAACCGAACATGGCGGCAGATGAAGGTCTTTCCAGATATTAGGTCCATGCATCGATAACCTCTATAGGACGTGGGATATCCTAGGAAGATACAGGGTGCAGAGCGATATTCTATCTTGTGGCAGTTGTATGGCCGTAGATAAGGATAACACCTGCACCCGAAGACACGGAAGAATGTGTATGGAGGTGTTTTGTTATAAATGGACTCATAGGGACTGACGTGTTTTAGTGCAGACGATGGTAGACAATTTATAAGGTATGACGCAGTTTCAAAAGCGTAATCCCAATATTTTAATGGGACTGAGCTTTCTGCGAGTAGAGCTAGCCCGGTTTCGACTATATGTCTATTCCGACGCTCTACTCGACCGTTCTGCTCATGCGTATA